TTTAGTGTACATAGTGGGTGGGTGTTGTGTTCATTTTAGTGTACATGGTGTGTGTGTGTTGTGTTCATTATAGTGTACATGGTGGGTGGGTGTTGTGTTCATTTTAGTGTACATGGTGGGTGGGTGTTGTGTTCATTTTAGTGTACATGGTGGGTGGGTGTTGTGTTCATTTTAGTGTACATGGTGGGTGGGTTTGTGTTCATTTTAGTGTACATAGTGTGTGGGTGTTGTGGGTGGATAATATCTGTCCACATACCTGACTTTCGGTGTGTGTGTGCTGCGTGTGGATAATATCTGTCCATGACATCTATGTCGTCTGTTGTCTCTATTACATCTTTCGTACCTGACTTTAGGAGTGTGTGTGCTGTGTGTGGATAATATCTGTCCATGATATCTATGTCGTCTGTTGTTTCTATTACATCCTTCATACCTGACTTTAGGTGTGTGTATGCTGTGTGTGGATAATATCTGTCTATGACATCTATGTCGTCTGTTATCCCTATTACATCCTTCATACCTGACTTTAGGTGTGCGTGTGTGTTACGTTGGGGTATTATCTGTCCACTGTCATCTACGTAGTCATAGAAACTACAAGTACAAATCCAAAATATAGTTTTTATTTCAGTTTGTACCTCCCCCTCATATTGCTTTATTCATTGCTCATGGGGTTTATCAATTGTACATTACAAATATCAATTGTACTGATTTCATTATACTTCTCTCTCACCTCTTGCTTCCTTACTCCCCATGCCTATCCAGGGCGAACGAGTGCCCTGTGGCCGTAGTCTTATCCGCTAATATCGCCTACAACGGTCTGTTGTTGTTCTCCTTCGCCTATTTCGGGTGGCAAATCCGCAGGACGCATCGGCTCTTTGTGGACTTGCACACGAACCTGCGGCTGTTTGTGCTGTACTTCACTGTGTACTTTGTCTACTTTCTGTGGGCCGTCTTGTGCAACCAAGACACCTGCTTCGGTAGGTACCCTTTTTTTTTGCTCTATACATCCCTAAAACCTAAACCGGATACCCTATACCCTAAACATTAGTCCGAAATTTTCAGGCAAACGTTGTCTTTTGATAGTATAAACTCATCTTGTTACACACTTGGTGCTGTACTTCATTGTATACTTCGTCTACTTTGTGTGTTCCGTCATGTACACCTAAGTCACCTGCTTTGGTGGGTAAGCCTCCCTACTTGATATTGATTGTGAGTAAACCTTTCTATTTTGATACTATCTTTTGGTATACTTTCTATCCTGTCGCAAATAATCACGTCGCTGCTCACTTCTATCTCGCTAATCCATATACCTGTACCATGCAAATACATAATCACCATGTCGCAAGATAGCCAACCATGTCGCAAAATAATTATGTCGCACTGATTAAGTGGTATGGCTGTATGTCCTGTTCAGTGCCCGCTTCAGTCTCACAAATCTATGGGTGTTTGTTCAGTGTGCTCGCCATCCACTCGCATCTCAACAGTCTATAAATAACTGTCCAATGGGCTCACCCTAAACTGTGCCTACCTCCCAGTCGCCGTGGTGGATGTGGTGACGTATCTGTTCCCCTGTGTTGTTTTATTAGACCCACTCGCATCTCAACAGTCTATAAATAACTGTCCAATGGGCTCACCCTACACTGTGCCTACCTCTCAGTCGCCGCGGTGGATGTGGTGACATACCTGTTCCCCTATGTTGCTTTATCGGACCCACTCGCACCTCAACAGTCTATAAATAACTGTCCAATGGGCTCACCCTACACTGTGCCTACCTCCCAGTCGCCGTGGTGGATGTGGTGACGTACCTGTTCCCCTGTGTTGTTGTGATAATGGCTGTGGATGAGTTCGGTCTCATCGTCCCCAGAGTGGCCGCGCGCAGATGGCTCGATATGGAAATACTTACCAAATATGAACTCGAGGGTGCCTACTACAGAGACCTCTCGGCCTTATATGATTTGCAGGAGTTGCTAGCCGATCCCCAAAGTGTATGTACCGTTCAAGGTTTAGGGTTTTGGTTTCGATGAGTGTTATTCAGGCGATTGTGGATCGTGATGCATTGTACTGGGGAGATAGTAACTATTCGAAGGAATGGATCTGTCGACCTTGGTTGCCTCTAGAAGATATGCTAGCCGTATCCGGCCATTCTCGAAAGAATGGATCGGTCTACCTTGGTTGCCTCTAGAAGATATGCTAGCCGTATTCGGCCATTCAGCAACCAAATACTGATGTTGGAAGTTAGTGGCAGTGCTCTAGCAAACGCTTCATACATATATATATATGTATGTATATATGTATATATATATATGTGTGTGTGTGTGTGTGTGTGTGTGTGTGTTTGTATATATATATTTATATTT